GCCCAGCTGCATGTTTCTGATGGCCTGTGACCCACCTGTGACCTCCTCAGAGTCTTTCTGTAACTACCCTTTCTAAGCAAGATGCCCCCTCCTCACCAAGTTTTATGGTACCAAGCTCATATCCCCATGGCTTGTATTACAACTCGTGTGTCCGCTGCATTTGTTTTCTTACTAGACAATGAGTTTTGCCATAGCAGGAGACCACATCTAGGGCATAGATTGTGCTTAGAAAATATTTCCTAATGAATAAATACTGAACATACAGGTGGCATCAAGAGAGAGAGAGAGAAAAAAAAAGTTGAAGGTCAATAATGTGTCACTGTCCTGTTTCCACATATGGACCTTTTGTGGTCTTGTTTGTAGTCAAAACATTCTCATAGCTGGATCCTTTGGATGTATTCAAGGATGCTAGTCTCCTCTGAGGGCGGAACTCCCTAGTGAGTAAGGCCTGAGCATGCATGTTTGCCTCACTTTGCACGGCGTTCGGCATGGCCCCAAGCACAGATGGGAGCTTCATAAATATTACTGAATGATGATGACACCAAGGATTATTTAATACCTCCATGTGGGTGGAGACGGACCTCAGGCCACAAATAGACTTTAAATGTGCTTTGCTTCTCAAATCATCCGCACCAGCATGCTTTCAACAATGCAACTCATCTGTACCACAAATCCGACACATTCAGATGACAGAGTCCCCGAAGAATGCCATTTTCAAAGCTGAAACTTTATTATTCGGGGGGTAAAGGCAATCTTTGTTTCAGTGACACTGTGAGAATAGAAACTAAAGACAATGATGAAAGTCTTTCCCTGGGATATACCAATTTTATCTGTGAACAATGAAGGTTTGGGTAATTCATAAGTCTCAAAGGTGCCCTGCCTGTTCTGAAATACCAAGAATTAAGCGGGCCACTGGATATACGTCAAGCATAACTGTTACCTTGGCATTTGTGGATACAATCCTACGGTTTCATTCACCCAAAATAATAATCATAATCGGAACAAGTGACTTGGAAAACCACAAGAAACTGTTTGTTCACCAGGAAGAAAGAGGCTTATAAAGTGTCCATCATGAGAATCCACGAGGGAGCTACCCAACAGATCAAATACCCAAAACAAATCAGCACGTCAGAGCCCCACAGAATTCTGAATCCCAACTAGCAAGCATGAATAATCCTTTTAAACGCTCGCTCACGTATCAGAACAGGCCCTTTGTGAATCTCTAAGCAAGGCCTCTGGCTTCTGACTGAGCAGAGGTTTTCTTGGGAAAGTGGACAAAGTGAAATCGAGAGCTGCTGGGACATTTCCACAAAAAAAGAGAGGACAAATGGTTTCTGTTGTCAGAATGAAACTTCCTGCTCCCGTGTAGGGCTTGGGAAGCTGTTGGCTACTCCACAGGAGAGCTGGGCAATGTTTTCAACTGTTGCGGCTGGGACCCCTCCGGATCCCTAAGGCTGCAGTAGTAACTACATAGGGTCAAATCCTGCCAATTTCCCATTACCTGCAGGATCTAGTACAAGGCTCATAACTTTCCTGATGCTTGGTTCATCATTAACATGTAGAGAGGAATAACTGACACAATTTCCTCAAGGAACTATTGCCAAGATAAGTGAGGTATATGAAACTGGCTTTACGTAGAATCCTATAATATCAAATAAGCCACAGAATGCCCAGGCTCCTTTCCTTGGGCTCCTGCACCATATGGCCTTCACTCACACAGGCATATTCATACACATAAATAAAAATTAAAAATAATAAAGTAATTCTCTTAAAAAAAAAACTACTTCGCTTACAACAGGATCAAAAGTTAACAAAAACTGTGAGGCATCCGCACTAAAATCTTCAAGTTCACATTGCAAGGAAATGAAGAAAATCAATTTAGAAATATAGCCATGGATTGGAAGATCCAGTATTATTAAAATGTAATCCTCCTCAAATAGCTTTCATAGAGTCAACACAGTCTCCATCAAGGCCCCAAAGGGATCTGGTGTGAACTGACACATCAGTTCTAAAATGAATGTAGTAATGGAGAAAGCTGAGTAGATGTATGTACTAACTAGACAAAAAATAAAAATGACTGAAGCATTGCCCTGATTTCAGTGTAGTATCTTTGTAAAGATCAACAAAATTAATTAGAATAAGTTGTAAAAAAAAAAAAAAAAAGCACAATGGATTTATATGTGCGTGTATTATGTATTAATGTATATTCAGTCAATTTGTAACAAAAAAAAATCAATACTATGTAGGGGAGAAAAAAATCCCTTCAATTAGTAGAGTTGGAACAGCTGAACATGGAAAAAATGATCCTCAACTGTTACCTCACACCACATATAATAATGAACCAAAAACTGAAAGCATAAATATAAATGTTAAAACTGCAATTTTTCAAAAGAAAACCAGGGAAAATATTGTTCTGATCTCAAAAATGTTGCCTAGCAATTTCCTCTGAGAACCATCCATCTCGGTGGGAAGCTCATTAAGATTCAGGAAGTAAACAAGTCAACGGCTTCAGGAAGTCCCTGAAAATAGCCAGGTAAACCGGGCACCCTCCCCCACAAGCATACTTAAGCTGTAAAGACTGTTGAGAAGACTCTCAGATAAGCTGAGCTTTCTAGACAAAGCTCAGATTAGCCAAATCACCTGGAAGAAACAGATCAGCAGCTACATAAAGAGGCTCAGACCACCTGAGCTGCTGTAGGCTGTGCAGGGAGCTCCAGGCTTCCAGCTTTCATGACCTGTCACCCGTGCTGGGGTGGACCTTGGTGGTGTAGCTGTCTTTTAGTTACTGCTGCTTCTCTAAGTAACCCCTCATCCAATTTCTTGTAAGTAACCCCAATAAAACTCGGTTCACCAAGCTGGACTTTGGTGGTATCCTTTGGTCTGTTGCCATTCTCTTAAGTGGGATGAACAGGTTCAGGTCTCCCAGGAACAGAATCACACAACAAGAGTAAACAAAGATTTCTCATAGAAGTCAAAAGCATTTATAGTAACAATACAATTATTGAAGCACAAGAAAAAAATCGTAAACTGGATTTCATCAGAATTTAGAACCTCTACCCATCAAAAGACACTAATTAGAAAATGACAAGCAGGGGCTGGGGAGATGGTTCAGTCACTAAATTGCCTGCCTTGAATTCGATGCCCAAAATGCACATTAGAAAGCTGGGTGTGATAGCAGACTGGCAAGCCAGCCCCGGGAAGGCAGAGACATGCAGATCCCCAGAACACTTGATGATTTCCAGGCTAGTGAGTGACCCTGTCTCAAAACGGAAATGTGGCTAACATCTGAGGAATGATACCTGAGGTTGACCTCTGACGTCCATATGTGCCCACCTGCCCCCACACACACACAAATGGGGAGGGGCGGAAACTACAAGTAGGAAAAATACAGGCAATCCTATATTTGACAAAAGACTAATCAAAAAACATATAAAAACCTCCACAAATCAATAACCAAAAAATACAGTAGCCCAACTCTAAGTACAGGCAAATACCTTTTGGATGAATATAGAATGAAAGAAGGTAACAAGCAGCTGATGAACACATGCAATAATTCAAAATCAGCTATTATTAGATGGTGAACTTTCCAACTATGATATAATAATATCTAACACAGAACAGCATGGCCAAAGTTAAGTTTGTCGCAACCCCCTGATGTCGGTGAAGATGTGAGGCAACGAGCTCCCGCAAGTGTGAGATAGAAAGCAGTTTGTCAGCTTATTTGAATGTACAACTACCCTAAAATCAATATTTGCTCTTAGATATTTACCCAGGAGTGACTGAAATGTGTCATCAATGACAACAACAGTAAAACCCTTAAATAGCTACCAGCTGCAGAGAGCCCAGATGTCTGTCAGTGAGAAACTGGAAAAACAAATGGTGATATTCCCACATATTTGTGTGCTTCACAGCAAGGGGAGATGTGTCCATAATATATGCAATGATGAAGATAAATTTAAAAAAAGAAAAAAAAAGGAGGATAGCATGGCAAAGGATCCCACCCATGGCTAGCTGCAAACAGGCAGGAGCCAGAGAGATGGGAGAGTTGGGAAGTTTAATTGTAGCTGCACCGTACATGCACAGAACGAGATGCAGGACAGGTATGAGTTTAACCCGTCACCACAGGGAACGCCGGGGATGGGATGATAGTCTGCTTTCTCACTGGTCTGTGCTTTCTAACTTTCTGCAATGCACGCTCCGCACCTAGAAGAATACACACTGTTGGAAAACATCAGGCTCAGGAACAGGACTGTAGCTTGGTGGCGGCACGCTTCCCTAGTGTGTCCAGGGTTCTGGGTTTGATCTAGTCCAGGTCCCACTATGAAGCCCCTCCAGAGTGAACCTCCTGTTGGGCGCTCTCTGCACACCATCATTTCATCCTTACAACCAACCTGCAGTGTAGCACCTCTGTTTTTACTCACCCGATGAAGGTGAAAGCAGAGTCTTGTATGTAATATAATCTGACCTCAGACTCCATGCTCTTTTCATTTTACTTATATAAATACCTTCAGATTCAGGAAGACTACACATTTTTGAGCTATTTACTATGTTTCAATGAAATGCACACGGATGAACAAAATATATATATATATATATATATATATATATATATATATATATATATATATATATATATATAACAAATGAAACAGGCCAATGACAAAGAAATCCGTAGTAAAGGATTCTACTAATGTGACATTTGGAACAGGCAAGCACCACTGGTGACAGAAAGCATGACCTCATCCATACATCACCACAAACTATGTAAGGATGACACTGTAGCATCCCCATATTACTTTTTTTTTTTTTTTTTAAGTAAGACATAGAGAGCAAATGCAAAAGAAGAACCCAGCTCAGGCCACCTGATTCTCACACTGCTACACCACCTATCCGTAAGTCCCCAGCAGAGCAGGAAGAATGACTGCCGGTTACCAACAGAGAGGCCTTGGCATCTGAGGTCTACCACACAGTACTTCAGCCACAGCAATGTCCTCGCTTACCTGTCCAGAGCCATGCTGGTTGGCATACTCCTCCCAAAGCCACGGACCCCCATCTGACGGAAATACGGAATGCAAGAGAGGTTGGCGGCGATGATGGCAAGGGAGTCCGAGGGACTCACAAAGAAGCCATTTTGGCCAAGGATCATGTAACGGTCCTGTGGGAAGGAACGTGTGAAAATTATCGGGGAGAAGCATCTGGTCTTCGTACCCAGTTCCCATCATCAACACAAGCCACTTTCCTGCTACTTAAACAACCTAAAACGATTTGAATTGGCCAAAGAAAGCATAGGAAACCATATACATCCCTCAGGAGCCCAGAATCTTGATACGGCTGCAATGTGAGCCACCTGTTGAGGTCTGTGCACAGCTCCTTCATGCTTCAGTGGCCTCCACGGTCTCAATCCCTTCCTCCCCACATGGATTGGAGAGCGGTTGGTAACTGATAAATAACTGGTCCCTGCACGCGGCACTCTCAACAAAGCCAGCGATGAATGAAAATTTACTGCCTGTCTATTTTTTAATGAAATAATTTCTCAATGACGTACATCAATCTGAAAAAGCTGCGGGCGTTTCATGGCGTTAGTTAGCACTGAATGGCACAGTGGCGGCAGAGCCCCGTGGGCGGGCATACCAGCTCCAGAGTCTCTGGTGTCTGATGCTTCTTCCAACACATGATGAGAGGGTCAGCAGACTGGAACCACCCCCCCACTTACCCCGTCAGCATCAAACGCAGCTCCAAATCCATATTCCCCCCCTTTCATGGCTTCCAGAAGGGTGGTTGCGTATGTCAGGTTTGGGTCCGGGTGCTGCCCTCCGAAGTCTTCTAGTGGGACACAGTTTATTGCAGAGTTGGCCGGGGCCCCCAGTTCATCACACAGAACTTTTCTTACGTAGGGTCCCATGACTTTAAAAAAAAAATAGTTGAGAATGTAAAAATACTTGAAGAATATTCTTCCCTAGGTGTTTTCCTCTGGTTAGAAAGAGATACAATTCGCTTAATAGCCCAGAAAAAAAAATTATACAGTCATTTTTTAGGACACAATATAAAATAAGAATCATATTAGTTACTACCTACTGAGCATCTACCAAGTGCCAGGGACTCTGTAAAGCAGATAAAAGATGTCAATCATCCAGCAAGATGAGTTTTTTTTTTT